GAATTTATACAAGACAGAGTGAAAATCCATTTCACTTTCAAGAAATCTCCATTGTGTCCTTTGTGCCTATTGCACCTCTGGGTGTTCATTTGTGAAGGCAATCCTGGCTGGGTGACAGCGTCATGTGCAGCATATGCTGCATGTACAAACAGACCGGTGCCCAATCGGAAATTCTTCCTCTGATGTTCCTTCTACTGTGGTCCAGCTTGATCTTACCCAAAGAGCCGTTGGGCAGTGGAGATTTCAGATGTCAGCCTAGATTTGCCCATTTGGCTCTTATTGGATGACATTCACTGTAGTGTAAAAAGATGAGAGAATCTTACACAAAGAGCTCTATTTAGTGAGAGTCATCTCAGTTTCTGCAGTCACTTAGATAAAGGCATTTGTTCAAACAAAATCCAACTCCCTTCAGCATGATGGAAAAAATGTTTTTGAGATGTGCAGCTTTCTTTTCTTAAGGGAGTGTTTTGTGTATTTTATTCTAAAGAATAAAGTCAGCACTCTGAATGCGGCGGCAGTTTGCCTGCCAAAATTACCCACACAAGCCACCGCTAATAACTGAAACTGTTCCAAGCAAACATTTTGAGGAAGCCTTAGCTAAGGACTTCAGTCAGTGAGAATACCTCATGATCATCTCAAATGATTTGTAATCTTGGCATAATATTGCATTTTAGAAGTTCATCAGACAGAAAGAAAAACATTCAAATTCATTTTGTTTATATTTGCTAATAGTCTGGACACAGGTTCAGATTAATCAATTGTGTGTTTGTAGAAGTTTGATTCATATTGAAATTAGATGTATTAATTTACTCTACAAATATTATTCACAAGTAGCATTGCTGAATGGCCTCATGCATAGTCACACAACAGATTTCCCACAATGTCAACAGGAGAAATCCATTTCTCTGACTCATTTAATAGATTTTTTAAACTAATATTGATATTCAAGATATGAATTTCAAAGCATTATGTTGGTGGTTGGAAGATAAAGTTGATACATCTAAGTCTAATCTTTAAGAACTAAGAGTTAAGAATGAAAAACTACAGGAAGTACAGTATGTGAAAATTGGAAGTGACGAAATAAACAGGATGAAAAGCCCAAAAAGTGGGGGGCTTCTCAGGGGGGATTCAGCAGGCCTTTTTTACTGAACTCATGCATATGCATACAGTTCTGTTAAGTTAATGTTGCTTCTTGTGTTGACTCCAAACCTTGTGGTAACCCACGTGCACCTTGTTGGAAACAATGTATTTCCTAGACAAAAGAGCAAGTTTCACAAAAATAATGCATCCTGTCATGGTGTAATAAAGTTGTAACATATAAAAAAATCCAAGGTGTTTATTTGGCATGAAAATTCCCCAGATCTAAGTCCAAATATACATTATTAGGCTGTGCTGGGAAAGGAATAGTGGGGTTTAGCACTTAAAAAAAAAGTTCAGGTCTGACAGGCCTGTCTGTCTTTAATTTGAACATTTCTCTTCTCTAGATTTAGCTCAAAGTTTAACTGTTGGCTATTGTCTTCATATCAGCTTTCTGATGACAGGACTGGCCCCTGAATAATAACAATCTTGAGCGTTGCAGATGATTGGATTATGCAAAAGACCTCTCAGTAATCCAACTTTTATTCCAACATGTGGGAAAGAGAGATAAAAAAAATGGGGTTGCTCAAGAGGAAGAGTGTCTGCCAGTCAGAATATTGATGGTTTGACTCCTGGCTTTCTAAGACCACATGTAGAACTAACCAACTTTATTTACTGATGGATCCATTTGTGTACGAATAAGTATGATGGAAAAAATACTGTGTTCTGTCCATTGCTTAAGATAGGCCTGCTTCATTTCAATCTTTGTAATTGCTGCAGATTTTTATTGTGTTCCCTTTGGATGAATTACATTTCAAGAGGGAGTCCAAAAACATAACTATGTACTCAAAGTGTGCACGCATAGCATACGGTGATGAATTACCACCAATATCTGACACATTTTTAAATTGATCTGGGTTTCATCTTAGTTAGCTCAGCTTTTGAGGTTAGAAGTTAGCTGATTCACACATCTGAACTCACAGTTCAAAGTCAAAAAGACCCATTTATGTCGAGTCAAGCTATTAACAGATGCATGCTCAGGATCTATTGTATATGCTGTGGAGGCAGCAACTCTTTCTGGAGTGATGCAACTCATGATACATAAAATTACCATCACAGGCCTATTTGTCTTTCTCCTTGCCCAGAATGCCCTCCCATGGGACTGGAGACACTGAAGATTGATGATTTCCAGCTTCATGCTTCGTCTACGAAACGCTATGGCCTTGGCGCGCACAGAGGTCGCCTTAACATTCAGGTAAGATGGGAATGCGTAGTGCTGGCGTGGCTTGGCCAAGCTTACCGGATACGTTAGGGCTTGCTCTGCACCTTAGAATAACTCACCTTTCCTTGGAAGGCCGCATGCTCAAGCGCAGCCTTTTTTTTGTGACCCAAAGCAGCTATGATGATTTGATCGGGAGATAGCATCTTCCTTATTCAAAATCATCTTGAATTGATATTCAAGCGTCTTGGAAAGATGTCAGAGGTGATAACCTGCATTTCACCTCTTGGGTGTGAATGGCAGCATCATCATGTTTTAGCTCACCACACATTTCAGTGCTCTAAAGCTAACCCAGCAGAAAAGAAAGTAATAGTGTTTCCATCAAATCAGGGACACAGTCACAGACCCAATAAAAAAGGACGAGCATGTGGGAGAAGAGGTATTTCCTGTTAGTGCAGACTGCGCTTTGAGGGTAATACCCTGCACTCAATCTGCAGCAAGCCTCATTTTCTCTGAGCCGAGCTGCTCCAAATCCAACGGCGCAATTAATGAAACACGCGAACACATGCTCTTAATTCAATCAAGACAGCTCAAACAACAAAACAAAGGATAGTTGTCTGGCGTGTGTGAAACTGTGCGTGTGTGCAAGCGGAGGGATCATAGGAGGACAGAGATAGTGTCAGGAGAAAAGACATAGTCACCAGATGTGGAAAGGATATGTGAAAGGATTCTGTTCTGTTTAGAGTGACTTTGGTTTATTTTCACGTTTTTAGCAACTCCAGTTTATTTGGATTACTGACACAAATACAAGTGCTGGAATCTTGATATAAAGCGATGGCACTGAAAACACGGATAACCAAAATGCTATTAAGAGTCCAAATAAAACATGCTCTGCAAAAAATAATAATCACACGATTCACTGCTTGCAAAAACATGCATACAGCATCAAACAACGACGGGCCAAAAACTGTGTTCACAAAATGCTTCCTCTTAAAGTGAAAGGCTTAAATATCCAATTTCATTTAGTCAAAGATTTCCCTCCATCTGCTGATTCTCCCTTCTGTCTGGGCTTTAATGTCTATAGTTTGACTGCAAGTCACCTTCAACTAATTTGATTTACTTGATGTAATTAGACAGCAGACAACTGTGTAGAAAAGTCTGATGGTTGATTGTGTACATCAGAGCGCCAAGCTGTAAGATTCAGTAACGTCTTAGTTGAGCTGCATGCAATGATATTTTTATGGCAATGCTCTGAGGCAGGATTGCTGCAACTTTCAGAAGCTTCACCCTTACGAATCATGACTTTTGTTGAACTAGTTGGCTAAAGATGGTGCTTATTATAAAAAAGATATACAATTGAGAATTACACAGAGAAAGAATCAATACTTTTCCAGTTGGACTTCATGGCTGTATGGACAGGCAGATTGCATGCTTTACTTAAAACGCACACAAAAGCCCATATGGGATTTGCCAAAACACAACTGAATGACTCATGAGAGGCAAAGCCCTCATATCTGGTGAATCAAAAGATTGAACTATTTGGCTTCTATTCCATGTGGCACAGAAGTTCGCTCATTACTAAAATCCCTGAACGAAAGCCTGTCAATGACAACATCACACCGCGGCGGCTGTGAGGTCGTCCAAATTGGCAAAGGAATTGCCATGTGTATAGGGAGCAATCCCCCAAACTTTCTCCAGTTTGCTCAAGATGTCAAGATGAGGCAAAGGCCTATATTTCAATAAGACAGTGAAGCTGAGAAAAGGCAGCAACGACAAACTAAAACAGACAATTCAAATAGACTCTACACCTGAACCCAGTAGACCATCTCATGAGAGCTTTGAAAATGGGTGTGTAGTGACGCTCCTCGTCCAACTAGTTGAGGCAAAACGTCTCTGCTGAGAAAGATGGGAGAGCTCCCAACAGAAAGGTTTGCCACGCTTGCATGATCACACCCAGAAATAGCTCAGACTCCCCTTACTGTCAAAGTACAAGAATAAGGGAAAGCTTTGGACACTTTTGTATATGGAAAAAAAGATGTCCTCATACTGTGAACTTCTCAAAAAAACACTCGAAAGCTGTGATTTTGGCAGTGTTGTGAAATATTTGCAGTCCGAATAAAGGGATAAAATGAAATCCTTTTCAAAATGAAAGAACACTCTAAGGAAAACTTCCTGTGTGCACTGCAGGTTTTTCAAAACTTGTTTCCCTCTCCTGCTGCATATCTCACGTTGTAATAGACAATCATAAAAGACAAAACCAAGATATTTGTATGACTTATGTATTTTATGTGGGGTCAGAACATGGCGACTGAATGATGTGTACCATGCGTAATGTTGGATAATCAGTAGTCATGGTTTAGAAATATGAAATTTGTTATATTTTCCCCCCTTACAGCATTTCTGTGTCATAAAGAGGTGACAATATATGCCCAACACAAAGTTTAGTAAAGAATGTTATGTAACGTTGAGATTGGGGTTATTCAGATTAAAGTGTGTGCATACGTCCATGGAAAAAATGGGAGAAAGAAATTGAGGATTGCTGTTTTTTTCAGCGTTTTACAGATATCGTTTGCTTTCACCCGTGTGATTCAGTCCATCCTTTATTTATACCTACTCAATCCAATTCAGGGTCCCAAGAGATCTGGAGCCTGTCCTATCAGGCCAAAAGCAGGGGACATCCTAGACAGGCCACTCATTCATCACAGAGACAAACAACCACACACTGTTTTGGGGGACAATTTAGCATTACATGTAAGCCAACATACATTTTTAAGAGTGGGATGAATCCAGGAGAGCCGGTAAAACCCAATTTAAGCAAACTAGACATTTGAAATAGGACTTCTTTATGTTATCTGATCTTTTTCAAGGCAGCTTTTTTTAGATAGTCAGGGCAGCTTAACATGGTTGATCTCTGGATTGTTCATCCTATGAATGACCAACTGTTTTTAGTACACCGGTAACAAACAGTAACAATGCAGCCAGTGCATTGTGTCATTTACATAGCTCCTGCATAACCTCTAACTTATATGATTCAACATGTACTTGTGGAGTAAAACTGTGCTCCACGTGACTGTCTCTGGGAATCAGGCCGGCCTATATGAAGATGACCTGTATGATGGGGCCTGGTGTGCCGGGAGAGATGATCCGCTGCAGTGGTTTGAGGTGGATGCCAGGAGGCTGACAAAGTTCACCGGGGTCATCACACAAGGCAGGAGCTCCCTCTGGTCGTGAGTAGGAAGCCTGCAGGCATGCGAGGCCCGTTGCAAAAGTTGTATACTGACAAAGAGGACTGTGTGCCCACCAGCAATGGGTAATAGGTCATGCTGTTTCTATGAGGGCTGATTTAATATATTTCTGGACGAGTATATGTTCGTATTTCATTTTCGGTTTGATCATTTTGGGCAATACAGTTCAAAAGAGATGATTCTACATTCAGACCTTAAATTCACACATGAGAAAATGTCATGTAGTTTATCTACAAATAAGTGTCTTAAGTCATGTTGGTGGGTCTGTGAAACTGGCACAGCAGTCGCAGACTTGGAGATAAACTTTGCCACGTCGTTAACATTACGAAAACCAACCAAAACATGTTATACAGCCAAATATCTAATTACGCATGGCATGAGTTTTAAAATGTGAGCTCCCAGTGAGACGTGAACTCTGGAAGGAGACAGACAGCGATGATTGTTCCAGAACTCTAAACGGCTCTTGGATTTTCCTTCAAACCCATGTGGAAAATTTGACTGTGCAAATATAAACAAGACAAGCTCTTGAATCGTCCCCAGATGGTACTGAACCTTCACTTGTTCTGCCCTTTTCACAAGTCTTTTCTGATCCTCTGACTGTGGGATTAAGGATTTATGGATTTGATTGATTTGAATGCAGCCTTAATTTTTCATATATTCTAAAAGGTCACAACATTATTAAAATAACACTGGTGAAAACTGCTTTTTACATACTGAGAAGCATTGTAAGACGGGGAAACAGGGACATGGCTGCACATACAGTAGTATAAAAAACTATTTTAGATGTGGTAACAATATGTATGGCTTATTACCAATTGGCTCGTGGAATAGAAAAAAGGCATTGAGAAAAATCCAAAAACATGAAGAAAAAAAAGTTAGGAAGTACAACTTGAAATCAGTCACTGGACTGAAATTAATAACTTTCTGGGCCGCATTTTTTATAAGATATGCTCAAATGCTGTCAGTTTCAGTTAACTTGCGATCGTGGACATCTTTTTCTTTTCTTTTTTTCTTTTTATTCAAATGTACAGTGTTTGAAATCCTGTAGATATTGCTATTCAGCCTCATATTTCCTGGTCTTCCTTTTACAGACTGGATTTTTCTGTTAGGAATTTGCTCACCAGACTTTACCTGTAACATAAGCTCTTTGTTCCCAATGACCAGAGCAGACACATTTGTGAGTGTCACATTATTATTCACCTTACATGGCTGAGAAAAGTTTGATTTTAAGTGGATGCCTGCTGCTCCAGTGTGACACCCAGAGGCTTTTTAAATCTAAACTAACAACTAACTCCACAACTTCTCCCAGATTATGTTGGAGATGTCGTACAAAAATCTAAAGCAAAGACAGAAAGCCCGGACCCCAGACTAAAGAGATCTATGGCCTAGAAAAAAGTTAACCGAGCATCCAAGAATACTGAGGGAACATTTGATTACTAAATATTTTTGATGAATTATGCTACTTTAAACAAGAAAATCAAAGAGATTATTCCGCGCAAATCAGTAGCATTCCTTGAAGACACAGGCTCTAAGGAAATCCTCTCAGCTAAAACAGAATTATGTGTCTGTGTGTTTTATATATAGATATTGATAATCACAGCATGAATATATATGATTCAGTCCAGCTCAGTTTTAAATAAAGTTGGATTTTACACTCTCCAAGGCAGGGCAGTAAGATTTTCATCTGGGACTGAAACACAAAAAAGTAATCGCTCTCTAAACGTATGCATTTTGAGAAAGGACTTCTTTATAAATCATTCATGAGCTGTAAGCAGTGATTAATTGATTCAATCAGGTTCATGTAAGCATTAAGTTTTGCTTCACAAATCACTGGTTATTGATTAAGAAGAACATCATTTATGTCAGGTTAGATCAAATCCTTGCAACTTTTTAATTCTTTCACTAATTGAGTCAATGATTCTTGGAGAATACCATAAGTTTTTGTTCATTTTGAGCTATCAAGACTGAACTGGAACATTTTTAGCCAAAGAAAATTTTCTTTTTAAGTGCGTTGGGTCCAATCTGATCAATAAAACTGTCATTTTGTGTGGACCCTCGCAACAATCATCTGACTGAGTGGAATGCAATCTCAATCTAAATTTAAAATGTAAGTCAATAAAAACAAAGGAACTGTGGACAATAACATTTTAGATAGCGGTTCAGGGTTTTTAGAAATAGGGTGTTTTATTTTCCAGAAGGAGAAGAATACTAATGTCCATCATGTTTGATTTGAGCTGCTCGCAGGTTCACTAAAACAGCAGCTACTGCCTCTGTTTCCAATCTGCACTATCGTCTAACTACCTTCACTCTGCTCCACGAGAGAATTTGACAACCTCAGGCCTGTATGTCTTTAATTGGAAAGGGCGGCACTAACCTCTGCAAACTGCTGCACGGTTTTAGAGAACGGTAGGTTCTTTAATAGGTGCCATTTGTGATTTGCCTTCAGATCGAGCACCATGTAAAGGTGCAGAGGACACAATGCCTGAGACAGAATTTCTCTGCAATTAGCTCTGTAAGCCACACAATGATCTGCTCTGCCAGTTCAGGAGCTCCTGTCTGTATCAGCACTTTAATTAGCAGATCTGGGAATTCTTACCAGGGCAAACCCACTCAGTTCTGATGTCTTTATCTGGAAGCATAGGAGTCACTTGCATCCTACATACTGCGCAATCAGGTCAGCTCCTGCTGGCGAGGTGACTGGCCATTGGTCAATTCTTATAAGCGTTCACAAAGGGTATATTCCATGTTGATGATTTCTCCTCTTTTGTGTCTTCTTCTTCTCTTTTTAAAAGTTATTTTTTTAACTTACCTACACGCACCACGATGCCTTTAGGCTGATGACTGACCTGTTTTTTTAATCTTATTTCTATCACTGAACCAGGTTTACAGAACTGATGGACACGAAAAAAATATTTAGGACTATATTTTGATTTTGATATTCTAGTTTTAGCCTCTGGCTCTGGATATAAGATTAAATGCTCTTTTATATTCAGTTGTCCAGTAGTTTTAAAAGGAAATCCTCATAAAGGTTTGTAAGCTGCCACTCCATCATCTTCACATTGACACTGAAGGTGAAAAGAGTAAAACAATTCTGTCGCATTATTGACAGACAATCAAAGCCTACCACAAGTAATGATTTACATTCAGCCACTTGGAAGAGATGCTGGTGATTTATTGTGTGTTTTTTTTTTGGCAGAGAAGCAGCGAAACGTGTATCTTAATGGTCTTTTAGCATTTAAAAAAAATAGTTGTTACATAAATCGATTTGCATTTATTTGAGAATATCAGATACAGCTGTCTATGAGCTGACTAAAATCAACACAGTCACTTTGGTACTCTGTATGTTTTCTGTGTTTTATTGTTTTCTCATACCATTATTTTTTCTAATTATGTTGACAGGAGTGATTGGGTCACATCATACAAGGTTATGGTTAGTAACGACAGTCACACCTGGGTAACACTTAAGAATGGCTCAAAAGACTTGGTGAGTAATTTTTTACATTTTTGTACCCGATCTACTGACATTATCACATAATAACACCTCAATTCAGTGTACTAATTTCTCTCCACTGTGTAGGAAGTCTTGATCTCTGTGTCTCTGCTATACAACAGCGAAATAGAAAAATTAATGCTTGCTTGGGAGTAATTACTGAGGGAGATTTAGCCGCCTGCTTATTTCCAAGCCTAATGAGCTGTGAGGCCACAGTAAATACTGATGATGTTCCATGAGATAGGAACTTGCCTTGGTTCACTGTCAGAGCTGTTCACCATGTTCACCAATGTTCACCAAGCTGTGCTTTGAAAAACACAGTGTGTGTGATGCAAGGCTGATTGAATTTTTATTGCTTCTGTTTTCAAATGAACAGGTAACAAAAAAAAACTTGTTCACAACTGTTATTCTATGCCAACAAATCATTTGGTTAATGCTAAAATCCGCTCTGGTTTGGGCTTACCAATCATTTCTTTATGATTTAGCTGTCAATTTCATGAACGCAATTTTGCTGGTGGCCCGTATGTAAAAAAGAAAAAAACAAACATTATCACAGGTTTTTCACTTCCTGGCTAAATTAAGGGAATGTGGTTATGTAACAAAAATACATACCCAATACAGGCTCCATACAATTATAGGTTGTTTCTGCCTGCTTGTTGTTTTGGATGAGGGAGATAGAACTGTTTATCATTATTGTGCACATGTTCTAAGCCAGTTACTCAGATGTGTGCTATTATCTTTATGCATGCTTTCTTTGAAGCTGTATTAGTTTCAAGGCTACTTCTTAACATCTGTTGAAGGACAGCAGGTAGCAATTTGCATTCTGGGGCTGCATATGTTTGTTCTATTGCTGTTGAACGAGGAGCATTTCTTGACTGTTTATTCACAATGTGTTTCCCCTCAGTAGATATTCAGTGGCAACAGAGAAAAAGAGATCCCTGTTCGGAATATCTTCCCAGTGCCTGTGGTTGCCCGATACATTAGGGTCAACCCTCGCTCTTGGTTTCCTGTTGGCAGCATCTGTATGAGAGTGGAGATCCTTGGCTGTCCAATGCCAGGTGACGGGTTTGTATGAACAAAGCAGACACTCGAGTGTTCCCTGTCAAACAGACATTTGAAGTGCATGAAGGAAGGCCGGGTTGTCTTTTAGGTCTAGTGTTGAGGTTTGGCACAGATAGACATTTGGCATAACAAGGTCTGCAGAGATTATCCACAGTATCTGGGACACTTTTTTAAGGAAGTTGTTAAGTTATTCATGGGGAATAGACAGTTGCCAAGGGGAAAATGTATAAATAAATGTTTCTTCCTTTGTTTTTTAAGTTGTTGCGGAAAAATTACAACCAAAAATATCAAAGTCTTGGCACAAAATGTCAAATCCTTTTACATGGCTAGATAGTGTGAGTTAGACCTGCCATAGCTAGCCTTAAAAAAAAAAAGATCTTATCCACTTTGTAAAATAACTGTAGCTATTTGATTCCAGATCCAAATAATTATTACCACAGACGCAACGAAATCACAACAACTGACAACTTGGACTTCAGACACCACAGCTACAAAGAAATGAGGCAGGTAGGTCACAATGAACAGAAGACAGCATCCTCTTTAGAACACGGTTTGGAGCAAAAAGTGAATTAGAACAAATGAGCCGACTGCTTGAAAATGCATGAAGCATGTTATGGGTTGTGCCATTACTTATTCATATAGTTGTCACGAGCAGGAGCCTGTTTGTGTCTGGAAGGAGGGCAGCTGTATTTGTTACTGTGCATGCTGCATCTGAGGGGTGCAAGCGCTGTGAATTGTAATCTGCTGTAATGCAGCATCTCCCTTTGCCAAATAATCAACTAGGGGTGACCAGAGCTGCTCTTTACCAAAGTCATAATGAGACATTGCTTCATGAATGTAAAGCACCAGCTTTTCTTCTGCTGCAACGGCTGAAAGCACCACATAGAGGTGAATGAATAGCATGTTTCTGTTCTTTTCTTACTTAACTCTGGGGCTAATCTATGTCACACAAGCTGTCCAGCTTCAGCAGGCTTTCACAAAGAAAGGAAGCACTATTTTTAAAACTCCTTTTCAAAAGCTTTTTCACCCCTGACATTTCTTAATGTAGGCATCAGGCGCCGTATCCCCACTTCAGTTCTCACAGTGCTGTGCCTGAACTTTCAAGTGGAAATTACCCATTGTGGCTCCTTGTGTGAAGTAAAGGGAAAGAAATATCCCTTTTATTAGTTCAGGATTCTTCCTTTTTTCAGATCTACTTCTTTGATCACTAATGTAGTAGTACTGGGAGTATTCTGCAACCAAAGCAGATTGTAGACAAATACAAGAAAGAGGCAGACATCAAATGTATACAAATCCTTTGCATACAAACACAGAGGCCAACAAGCTGTGTTTGTATTTTTAGCTTTTATAGAATCATCTTTAGCATATAAAGGTCGAATTACCTCTCTCGTGTGTTACATAATCCTTGAGAGACCTCTCTTGCATTGATCATCGTGAATTATATGGCAAAGATATGTTAAAGAGGGAATGCTGTGAGCTATGCATCTGAAAACAGAGCTGGTAGTCCTTTGTTCACAAAAAGAAATCCTGAGATTTATTCAAAGAGTCACATGGGAAGAGAAGTCAGGATTTAACCAAGACTTGGTTAAAAGCCTATTACTGCTTCACTTAACAGCTGAGTCGTGTTTTTCCCTGGTGTTCTTATAAGTGTCTAAATTCATGGTCGATATGGGTAAATGATAAGTATTATAATTTTAATCAGTTTCTCTGGAGCTCTTGACTGCTTCTCTAAAGCCACTCTTGCAGATGAGGATGCTTTGTGTGCAAAGGCTCTGTCAGACAGAACTGGTAATTTAGTTTTGGAAAATTTCCAATACCACCTCCCTTATTTTGCACTGTTTTCAAGTAATGCGTATCCATTATTTAGAGAAGCAATAAAATCGTTGGAGACTGAAAAATCTCATATTCGTGACAAAATATGGAGCAAAAAGATATTAGAAAAAATGCATTGTCTTCTTCCTTTGGTGGATGTTTTTTTTAACATTTCTTCCATTGTCTGATGTTGATTCAAATTGAAATAGATCCTGATTGGACCAATCAGTACATCCGATTTTCCCAGTTGATCTAAGCCCCAATAACTACAGGAAGAGGGAAAAAAACAAAGAAATGTTAATTGAACTTTTGCAGGGATTTGTTTATAATAAATAGATACTGACGGATGTAATAAAATGTCTTGCAACATGTGTGTACAAAAACTAGAGTAGTTATGGCATAAGAGCACTTGCATCACCAAAAAGAAAAGAAAGAAATGTCACAGACAACATGGAGCCCTTGGACACCCTACATTTTCTGTTGGTTAGTTCCTCCTGAGTCAATGTTTGATCTTGCCTGCAGATTTTGCTGTATGGGTAAGTTATGGCTCTGTAACCAGAAGACCATTGGAATATTTTAAACATTAATTGTTTTTACAAAGCAGACACATTTTAAGCGATGTTGTACCCCTTTCCTTTACACAACGTGGTCTTGATGGCCACTCTTTATTGAACTCATCTGTTAAGTTATGAACACAGAAAAATATCTGTGGCACAGTTGTTAATTTTTTGCACATTGAAAATAAAGTAATTGAAATTTCAATACTTCCACCATGCCAGACTGATCCTATCGGACTGGAAGTGCCCCTATTTTTGACTTTTTGTAAACACTGGTAGGACTATGACCTTCAAAAAAGGGATTCTCATAATCTTGCACACATGGCTAAGTTGGCTTCCAAAACAGAAAACAGAGAAATCTCAGGTTACAACACACTTGAGGGAGTTGTGTCACCTCACAGTCTGTGCAGGACACGATTGTTCAACCACAATTTTAGATTAGAATGAGTAAAGGTGGTTAAAAAGTTTATGAATAATGTAGAAATGTATGATTGTTCGCTTTGATTTTTATTTTAAAATTCTTGTGGGGGGGGAATGGAGCCTTTCCCTGTTTTTAATGGCCAAAGGCGGGGTACACCCTGGACGGTCCGCCAATCCATTGCAGGGCCACACAGAGACACACAAAGACAAACAACCACGCACACTCACTCCTAAGAGCAATGCCCAATCAAACTAACATGCAGGTTTTTGGACAGTGGGAGGAAGCCGGAGAAAACCCAAGCAGACATGCAAACATGCAAACTCCACATAATTCCCCCAGGGACTTGAACCCTGAACCCTCTTGCTGTGAGGCAATGGTGCTAACTACCACACCACCGTGCCTCCCAATATTATGTTCCCTCTTTGTAAAATACCTCAGGTGAACTCCACAGTAGACCAGACTTTTTCTAATGTGATTTCCAGAATTCATTAGCAGTTCATGCTTCAATATTTGTCCCAACCAGCTCATGAAGGTGGTCAACGAAATGTGTCCCAACATCACCCGGATTTACAACATAGGAAAGTCTCACAGCGGCCTCAAACTGTATGCCATAGAGATCTCTGACAACCCAGGAGAGCATGAAGTTGGTGAGTGAAAAATGGAACAAAATGTGTGCAACACGTGACACCTTAACTGATATGAATAATAACAACCAAACATGTTTATCTCTGATGCATTTATTGCATAATAAGCTCCCCTCAATCTTTTCACTAGCCTCCCTTTAATGCCATCTTGTTGACCAGGTGAACCAGAGTTTCGCTACACAGCGGGTTCCCATGGCAACGAAGTGCTAGGTCGGGAGCTGCTCTTGCTGCTGATGCAGTTCATGTGTCTGGAGTATCTATCTGGCAACCAGAGGATACGTCACCTGGTGGAAGAGACCAGAATCCATCTACTGCCATCTGTCAACCCTGATGGGTACGATAAAGCCTTTGAAGTGGTAGGTGCATAAGACATCTATTGATGACCTCATTTCAGGAGCTCGCCTGTTTAAAAAAACACAGCATCATTTTCTGTTTAACTGACAGGGCTCTGCATCCTGAAAGATAAGTTGGGATGATCTGATGGAATACATAAAATAAACAACGCGTGCACGTGGGCTGTGTGTTCCACTGTAATTCATCACTGTCACATGTGTTGTGGCCTATATCAGTTGCAAGACAAGATAAAAGAGCCTGTTTTAACTTAGTTATAGACAAGTATGTGAGCTACAGAGCAAGTATCTTTCCCCTAGATGGTGTCACTCAGAGACCTGATATTTTATTGTAAAATGAGTCTGTATCCAACAGCTAATTTCCATATCAGCTTGTACTTATAAATACATAAATATAAAGGGATAAAGACAACAGACTATGCAACTGTGAGGTGTGTGTTGATGGCAGAAGGTTCATTTTATGAGTTTTTTTTAATAACTAGAATGTAATATTCAGTCAAATGATATTATTGTTATACAGTACACGTGTTAACAATTGTACTAACCAGACGCCAATATCAGTATTTTGGGGGATTTCTTATGGGCAACAAGTTCCAAAAACTGCACATGCCCTTTACGGTTAGTATAGATTTTTTTATTCTTCACCCTTATCTAGCAGGTTTTGCTCGTGACTTTAGATGCCCTTCCTGTTATCTGTTATGAACATCTTTCTCAGCAGAGCATGTCCCTTGACATACAAATGTGTATAGACATGTAAATCCTGTATATGGACCATTTCCAGAACTCCACCTGGGACCATAAATGTGTGCTCCCAAGAAAATAAAAACGCCGTTTCCTGTGACTTTTTAACATCCTGTACTACTTTTCAACACAGGGCTCCGAGCTCAGTGGTTGGTCTCTTGGTCGATGGAGCAATGATGGAATAGACATTCACCACAACTTCCCAGATCTCAACTCCATTCTATGGGAAGCTGAGGCCACGAAGTGGATTCCTCGCAAAATGTTCAACCACCACGTGCCTCTACCAGAGTGGTACCAGTCAAAGAACGCTTCAGTGAGTCTGCCCGTTTGATAAAGTGTTGTGAAATGTCAACAGGTAAAAACGACCTTATATTAGCACTTACTTTGTACCAACTGCAAGTGTTGGGCAAATTGCTGTGGATATAACTGTTTCCATGTTCTAAAATAGCAACGGTGGTGCTGCACAAGACGTGTAATTGCTGATAAAAATAGCAATTACACGTCCAAGTCACATCTTTTTCTTCTTCCCTGTGCTGAGCTTTAATTTGCCATTTAGTTTCTAGTGACTTCACCTTTCGGTGACAAAGTGTGGCATTGTGTTCTTGTCCTGCACCTCCTCCAGAGTAACAAACAAATCTTCACAGTGAAGCCCATCAGCCTTTTGAAAAGGGTAAAGCAGTCACGAGGACACACCGGCGCTATCTATTTTGAGAAACGCGGATGCACTTGCAGTGGATGACGAAGAGGCTGTGAGCCAAAATACACCCAGCGTGCTATTAAAAGCTCATCCTCACGAGTGTTTTGACGTTAGTGAGGGCCACGGGTGAGTCACACTGAGCCTCCAGAATAGCTGCTGCAGCTGTGGTGCTGGGATTCCCATCTGTGCTCACAAAGCTGTGAAACCTTTCCGCGCCTGCCCCACTGACTGCTCCAACTGGTGCTTCGAGATGAGAGAGCTGGTTTAATTATATGAGCCCCAACAGCGGGGCCAAACTCTTGATTGTAACGCGCAAGTACACGCAACTGCACGCCAGTTGGTTTCAAAGACTTGCTCATCTCTCAGAATTGTTATCCGAGTGTTATTTTTAAAATTTTTTTTTATTTTTGTTTTCTGTTTTTATCAATTCCGTTTAAGAGCACCTTGCTGGATGATCTTGTTTGCATCGAGGAGCTTGATTCAGTGATCATATTGGTCAGATGATGTCATTAATTCCATTTTTCATGTCTCTTTTGTACCCATGCTGTAGGTTGCCTTGGAGACAAGGGCTTTAGTAGCATGGATGGAGAAAATGCCTTTCGTGCTGGGAGGTAACCTCCAGGGAGGGGAGCTGGTGGTGACCTTCCCGTATGACAGAACTCGCTCCGTTGGGGTGACGAGGGAACAAACCCCCACCCCGGATGACCACGTCTTTCGCTGGTTGGCCTTCTCCTATGCATCCACCCACCGTCTGATGACTGATGCCAACCGACGGGTCTGTCACACAGAGGACTTTGCCAAGGAGGACGGCACCATCAACGGAGCATCCTGGCACACAGCAGCTGGCAGTTAGTGTCCATATCTGCAGGGGTGTTTTTCCACTGATGTTGACATGGCCATGTGTAGGAGTTGTCTGCTGAGCTCAAAGTCTTAACTTACAGATTTGAACTCCATTTAACTTTAGTTTAAAAAAAAAAAAACTTTGTGATTTTCATCACAGTTCTGCCCAGTGCATGGGCAGAATTCTGACCTGTGAGTTAGCTGATGTGGGCCAACAGAGATGTCTGTCTCTTTTTCTTTTCTTTTCTTTTTTACAGGTATGAATGATTTTAGCTATTTGCACACCAACTGCTTTGAACTTTCGATGTATGTGGGTTGTGACAAATTCCCTCATGAGAGCGAGCTGCCTGAAGAGTGGGAGAACAATCGGGAGTCTCTTCTTGTGTTCATGGAGCAGGTAGACAAGCAAAGAAGCCCCACGCAACTCACACAACAAAACTCCCACGGGTGCAGTCGGGATATACTCGATCATGTAAAAACAAGGACTTTTCACATTGTGGAATTAGCTTTTCACTTTTAATTTGTCCCTGAATTAATGTCACTAAAATGTTCTCACCTCACCTAATAGGGGCAATGTATTAAACTAAGAGCATCATGCCTTAATGGACAAGAAGCCAGTTTGCAAACCAGACATTTCCTTAAAAGGTTTGTCCCCCAGAAAATATAAAGGAGGAATGAAAGATTTTTTTTCCCTCACAATGTTTTCGAAGACAAGTATTTTGAGGATATCCAAATGTACTTATTGTAAGGCTTCTTGTCCAAACAACATTTAATAAATACAGTATCTTTAATATATGATATTCTCTCCAGCAATTAAGGCCATTCAGCCTCTGACATGAAACTTTTTTAAATAATTGTTGCTGGAAGTGGAGGAAATATACAAATAGCATCCTTTACTGGAGATTACACAGAATAATATATTAAATGCTGGTGCACTGGACACTATGGAAATGACTGTAGGGTTAAAAGAGTAAACTTATGTCATGTTTTCTCCATCCAGGTGCATCGTGGTATCAAAGGGGTAGTTCGGGACTTTCAAGGTCGTGGAATAGCCAACGCCATCATTTCCGTAGAAGGCATCAGTCATGATATCCGCACAGGTAAACCGCACCTCACATTTTAGATTTAAAACCTCAAGCCATGCAAAATAAAAAAAATGCCCACCTCGAAATGCTCATCAGATATTGTAGATGATAGCAGATGTCACTGTCTGTTTTGTAGCCTCTGACATTCTTTGTGAGGAAGCTGAGAGATTGCCGTCGAAGCAAAATAAACTACCTCCAGGTTTTTCTGATTCTATCGTCTCCAAACTTTGAGTTATTCCTCAAGAATGCGTCAGTCCTCCTGCAAGTTAATGTTTCAGCGTAAGAAAAATGGATAAATAAAAGCAGGTGATTTGTTCAAACACTGCCGCAGGTTGAAGTCTGTTGCTGATTTGAATACGACAATTGACTGTGAGTCCTCAAGGCAATTTCTGCATATGCCTAGAAAATACAGCCTTTATAAGAAAAGTAGTTTTTTTCCCCATAGAGCGTGAAATCAGACGTCCAAAAGGATTTACCATTATTGCTGCTAGAACTCAGAATAAGTCACTGCTTCCTCTCAGAAATCTTACCGCGCTCAAATGCAGTCAAGAAGGTTTTTAGGATTTTGCTTAAAAGCTGTGGCTTTTCAGCTGCTTTAAATTTGTTTTTGGGGACAGCTTGAACCTTCAGAAATAGACATTTGCATAACGGTTTTTCCTCCATCACTTTAAATAGACCATAGTCGTGTGTTTTTTTAAAAGTGAAAAACCATTTCTGAATTTGCATTTTCAAATCGGGCATTTCACTTTCCGTCCTTCCTTTCAGGCCTACAGTGATGCTCTGTAGGCCGGGGTTGCCGTGTATCGCTGGACAGCAGAGGCACATGTGCTATCGTATTTCATTTGCCTCAGTGGTTGTTGAAACATATCAGGTGGGTGTTAAGATGACAGGAAGGAAGCAAGCATACATACTCAAAAAGGCTGCATTAAGTACGGAGGGAGCTAGAAAAAGCCAGCATGACAAAGCTGAGCTATATTTAAACCGACTCACTTTTTGAAAGTCAGCACGAGTCTCTTGACATTGTGTCTCCGATTAAAAGGCTGTTTGAATAACAAGAGGTGTACATTTTTGCAAAAAAAATGCAAACCTTTCACCAAGTTTAATGCGACTGGCTGTTATTTTTTCTTCTTGTCTTCAGCATTTTTGTGTTTTATGTTCTTCCGCTCAAAACATGTAAGAACATATAGTGTGATTTAAAATTTTCATGTGTCTCCTGCGCAGTTTGTGTCCGTTTTTTAGATACACACAGTGTTTAAAACACCACTGGTTAGAAAACCAGAAATGTTTCTGAATTTAGTTTTTTAAGAAATTCTTCAAAAACATGCATCAAACTGAATTGGTTCCAGTCCCCCTGTGACCCCAAGTGGTTCAGAAGATGGCTCGAATACAGTTTTAGCAAAATGACCTCCATAGAACTGTTGCAGAAACATAAAGGAATTATTTTTAGTAACTATAGCTGCTTATTTTGGGCAGCTGTGGTATAATTCTTACATTCAATGGTGGTCGAACAAATTTTGTTAAGCACTGTATACATGAAAAAAGGATTGTAATAAGATGAGAATAGACCCACCCATGGCTGAGAATGAACAATAGCGGAAGAGACATCGAAGAAAGAGTCTCAAGTATGAAGACTTGGACTGCCAAAGGATCTGACAAGACACATACCTGCTGGCTAAAGAAAATAACTGTACTACAAGTGGGCCTCCAGCAAACAGAAACTTCTTCCAGACCCTACTGCTGACAATCTTTTGCCCCTCCGAAGTGTGAAGATGTTTTATGTCAGGCTGTCAACACATATTTACAATTCCCCTCGCCTTTAGGTAAAGAAAAAAAAATTGCCACGTGCTCAAATAGTGGTTCGTGCAATGTTCTTCAGCGCTCAAAATGCTAAAGTGCAAAACATTCAGCTGCTGGGTGGTTGCCTTCCTTTTCAGCTGCTGACGGGGATTACTGGCGCCTGCTGAACCCCGGAGAGTACCGAGTGACAGCCAGAGCCGAGGGCTACAGCCTATCCAGCAAGAAGTGCGAGGTGGGCTACGAGATAGGCGCTACCAGGTGCGACTTCACCATTGGCCGGACCAACTTGTCACGAATCAGAGAGATCATGGAAAAATTCAACAGGCAGCCCATCAGATTGCCTGTGAGGCAGCTGCAAGCCCACAGGTCCAGAGCAAGCCGCATGGGAAGATAATAATAATAAGAAGCCAATGAAAGAATTAAAAGCAAACATCTACTCTGATCACACTGGAGTGAAGGCAAAGCCCAGGTTTGGGCCGGTTTCACATTCCCTCAGAGTGCTGCCAGTTAAATCAACATTTGCAGACTGAAAACATGGATTAATTTAAATAAGTGCTTTATTTGGTTTTCGTCTGACTTTATTTGGGTTCACTTGCAGGAATAGGTTTTCCGTAGCCTGTCTTTTTTTTTTAGCTATGGACATTTATTCTCCTTCTGTCGCAGGCTTTTCTGTCAGTGTCTATATGAACTATAAAGTTATGTGCCTCCATTTATGGTACACAGGCTGATAATTGGCACTAGTGCAAACCAATTACAAGACAGCTAAATATAAAGACTTACATACAAATCGAATGACAAAACTGTTGTGGCATCTAATTTAATTCCCTGTAAGAACAGAAAGAAACAAAAAACACAAATGTCATCATGTACGTGTGTATTAACTTATATACCAGTTAAATAAAAACCCTTTGACTTTTACAGACACTTGTGTAATGCTCCAACATAAAATAAGCTTGTGTGTCATGTTTATTTTATATTTTGCTTTTAGTTTTTGAATAAATCTTTTCACAAATCTCAAAATGTTGCGTTCTTTAACAAAACATTTCTATAGATTTTTCTAATGGAAATTAGATTTGATCTATCTGTCACATTCCATCTGTAGCACACCTTTCACCGCTGTTTCCAAGTGCTAAATAAATCTTTATTTATGGTTTTCTGGTTCAAACAAAAGGATATTTAAAGTCACAATTCATAAACGTTTTCAAAAGTGGTGGAAATAAATGCGAAAATAATATTTCACTTCCCTGGACTACATGTCGATGTGTGAGGATACTGATCCCCATGTGGCCTCTGATGTGTCCATCAGTGTGTGAATGTGTGTAGAAGAGAATAGCAGTCTGTAATATTGTATTTACCGCGAGGTGATGTTTCAGTGGCTGCACAATAGCAAGATCATTATTCAACATCAAGGAACACAACACTTAAGAATGCAAGAATGCCAAACCTGAGACTAGAAACACACACAAATTAGCATTTTTAGAATAAACATACATACAAGCTGAAAAGCAACAGTTTAGAAATCCTGTCACTGACACAAAAGGGAAAGTATTATTTTAGGAAATGAAGAAAAAATTCCTTTTAGCCAGCAAGACCAAAAAAAACTTACTTTCTGCACATAACTTGGCTGCAACAACCAATTTTAAGCATCACCTCATTTGATTTCTTGAGGTGTGAGATTGTATCTGCGGAGTGTCAGGGTAGAGAATCTAATTATCAGAGCTCTACCAGGGCTTTTACAGATCACTGGTTTACTCTAACAATGCTAGCCTTCCTCCTCTCTGACCAACATATAATTAGGAAAGGCCTTAGCCTCTTATCTCCTCCTCCAAAGGTTATTGAACACGCTCACACAACCCCTGTCACCATCTTAAAGCACCAGACAGAATAAGACTTGTCAGTGGTTGTTAATATTACAATACTTTCTATAGAATGAATGTGAAACATTAAAGTGCATTTGTAAGTCTCAGAGACAAACGGTGTGTCTTCTAGATTTTGAAGGTTTGCTTGTCTTAAAAGGTTAATCACAAATCAGCAAATCAACTGATGCCTTTTTAGCCTACACAGAAAAACAGTAGCTCTTTGCTGATAGTGTATAAAACCAAATCATTTGACAAATTTTAATTTCAAAATCATCAGTGATCTAGAGAAAAAAGTGTCACTGTTGTGATTTTAATAATTCCACTGGCAATATGTGTGGAGCAAACTGTCATGGCAGGCTGTGCTGTTCATAAAGTCCATTCATCCATCCAGTTTAGAAACCCATATAAATCTATTCATGGCGCCATTCAGCACATTTCAGCCCAAAGAAAAAAACGGAAAAGAATATATCAACCACGTGCAAATTTATGTGAATACAGTATATGCTTTTTTAAACAAAAGAAAAATACTTTAATTGCCTTGACAGGATATAATTCTTAGAAATAATATATTTTAAAATGCATGTTATTGCATTTCATCTGTACAAACTTAGATTTGCTTTCCCAGGCATATGCATGCTGTTAGGGGCCAACACCAGCTACAGTGATGAATGATCGTAAAAAAAGATACATTTGTTTTGCAGAGCTGAAACAGTCTGGATTCCATTTGTAATGAGACGTTGTAAGACAAACACACGTCCAGACTTTGTCCACATGGACTGCAGATGATACCTGTGAGTAAGCATGGGTGTGAATGGTGGTCTGTTGGGAGGAGAGGGAATCACCTAGTATGCAGTATAGCTGTAGGATACATCCAGAACCTCGTAGATCGGTTTAAAGACACAGGATTCTTCAGCCTTCAGCTAAGCCTTTAATATTTCAGAGCTTTGGACTGGCACCATTACAAAGTATGACCCACACTTTCAAGCATGCAACACTGAACAGAAAGCAGCTGGTCAAACAGCAGTTTTTTAAATAATAAGCGTCCCCCACACCTTCTTTATTCCATGTATCACACAGATTGTCATCGAGAAATTGATTACATTTAAAAGCTTAAATGGCTTTTAGATCCCGGCCTTCTTCTCAGAGTCCCAAATCAATGACTGCAAGGATACGGCATTCTGCTTAGTTTTGTATCCTTGACCCTAGAAAAACCTATTGTGACACATTTGCACTATCCAAAATAATATTAAATTGCACTGCGCCATTGTACTTACCCCATCTGAAGCACAAGAATAGATTTATTTCTATCCATTTGTTTTATTTTATTGCATTGACACAACACATATTTCTTTGTTTTGCAGGTCGAGGTGTCTACTTTTCACTTTGAGTGGTGGTATATTTGTCACTGAGGGAGGTCTGTTGACTGAGTGGGTTGAAGTCAACCATGATTAAGCTGTGTGTCATGGTCAGTGCCACCCACCTGAGGATAATCATTGGCTCCTGGCGTGGTAATCAGTGTACAGAAGCTCTACCATTTACAGCTGAGGCTGTCTCTGTCAGCTGCTGATGTTTCATTACCACCTGCATTGTGGTGTGAACAGAAAAATTGCCTCTCTCCGGCTGACTGGTTTCAGGTTGAAACAGTGTGAGCGGCCGCAGCTACACGAGAGCCACGTGACTTTTGTTAAACCTCCCTTTTTTGTGTGTTTCTGAACAACAGTTACGCGCTCTGAAAGTTTGAAAACTACATATAAATGCAATAATAAGTATGGACACTTAAATAAGCAGTTTCGTAAAATTCACAATTTACTTTAATCCTTTCAGTCAAAAGTCAAAGTAGTCATCTTTCTAATTGTCAACAAAATAACAACTACAATCACAACTAAAACCAAACAGTGTTTTCAACATGTGGAAACAACAGTAATTGTAATTGTCACTACAGGTTATCACATCACCATCCACAGTCCTCTTCACCACCTTTAGCAGTGTCAGCTTTGAACTAAAGTTGAATAAATTAGAATACACTTGACAAGGTCAAGTCAGCAGCCAAGACAAAAATGAGGTAAATTCTACTTAGCTCGTCACCTATTGTCTTCAAAACTTTAAACTTAATTTGCATTTGAAGCAGCATTCAGTGTAACTCAGACAGGTATTGTGTTGTCATAAATCACAAATACATACATATCAAAAGAGCCAAAAATACTTGTTCATCTAAATCTGACATGTTTCATTTCATATTTAGGTTGTTTACCAATTAGAACGTCCATCAAATCCAGCAAGACACAGAAATACATAGGCAAATGTAAGGTAATGAATAAACTTGAATAAGGCAATGACTGACTGAACTTTACAGCTATTCAACATACCGGTACGCTATTGAAAAACCTTTAAATCACCACATTTCACATTTTAAGGCATCAGTTGTTTTGGAGTTCATCATATTAAGTATAAATTAAAATGACAGGTTTCTAAAAATGTACTTTATTTGCTGAGAAAATAAATACTTCTAGGCATAAAGGATATATCCAATTATGCAGACACTGATTCGATTTTATCTATTGCTTGAACAATAAATGTACCTAAAATTGAAACAATCCAGGGCTGATCTGGCTGTTTATGTGAAGACCCAAGCCTCAGAAATATATAATTTTCAGTTTTCTGTTGTACGGTGTGAAGCAACTCGGTCCATATTATTTTGACTCTAAAACAAATGGTGCCCACTCACAGCCCTCTCATTACAAAGTTGCTTGACTTCTGATACAGAAAAAAATACATAATGGCTACAACATTTAACCCGGCAGATCCATCAATAGGGCTCATGAGTGTCGATATCTGTTGATATGATACCAGAAAGCTACAACAGGCTACTGCAAAAGCAACTGGAATGAACGAACGCAAAACATTTTTGTGAGATTAAACCACCTGTTCAAACTGGCGCTCTTTTTTTTTAGCTACACATCATTTAAGACACATAAGGTTTTCTAGAATCCTTCATAAAAAAGCACTAAATGTCATAAAGATTACAATACATGGACATTTTAATTGCACAAAAAAAGCTTAGAGGGAAAGCAGCTCTGGAAGCAAATGAATTAAATGGGTAACAAGGATGTCTGTTCCATTGAACTGTGTTATCACTTTTTACCTATTAGCAGTCTGCATGATTCTGTTACTGCACACTCACATTTGGTGTGTGATATTGACCAATTATGTGGGGATTCAGAAGTTCAGTGCAGTACATTACAGTACCCAGCAGGAAACCAAATGGCTCTGATCATTTCAATAGGGGTGTTCTTCCTTTCAAAGCCTCTATTTTCTGTCACTTTCAGCAAAAATACACAAAATGTTCCAGTTTCTCTTATATCTCAAATGTTTCTTTGTCTTTATAGCATCACTTTGAAAAAAAACAGTAGACTGTCTTTGTTACCTGAGATTTGATGGCTCAGACCAACAACTGATAAAAAAAAACAGTCAAGAAAAACATTTTTGAGTACCATTCAGTGCAACTAATCCATTCTTCCACTTATCATTTCTTTCAAAAAAATTTTAGGATTAAAACCATTTTCTGGTTTTGCTTGTCTGTTTGCCATACTATACCATAACCTCCCCAGCTGAGTATCAAGCATGTGTTTAGTTTTGTCTGTTAATTCTATTATATGGTTACAGTCAAGAATTAACTAGGATTTCAAACATAATACAGGAATTTAATGGCATACTTTGCTGGGCAGGTGGAGGTAAGACTGAGGTCTAACAATGATAATAGTTTATCGCTTAACACCTTCTGCTCTTAGGTTATTGTCCAGAAAATATCCTGTATTTAGAAAAAGTACAATAAATAATGGAATCACTGCAGGAGAAGGTGTTTATACTACCATGCACATATTAGAGGATGAAACATATTTGACAAGGATTTAAGGAATATTCTGCTCACCTATAGTTGAAAAAAGAGCAGATGATGAAGGAAACCTGCTTTAGTTCAAATGAAAGTTGAGTTATTCAGTTCAGTCAAAAAGAACAGAAATTCTATGATCAAGAACTGCTGAAGTTTGTATTCATGATCTGAAAACGGATTTTAGTATATCACAGAAATAGTATATTATGGACAGAAATTGTTGATCCTTTTAGTCCAAACAAAATCTATAAAAACATCTGACAGTGATTTAGCTTTCATGTGAGCTTTTCCATTAGCTTCAAATTGTAAGTATATTCATGCAAAGATTGCCACAAGGAGAAAAAAACACCGTGACTCTGGTTTTGGGGATTTACTGGAAACACCAACACATCAAAACTTCTGGAGAATGTCCCCGGATTCTTAGCACATAGATTAAATATCTGATTGTGAACAAAACTTTGACAAGTTTGTCTCTAGAATATAAAGTTCTCCATCACTATTACATGCTCAACTAGCTTTTGAACTAGCTAACCAAAGCGAATTTAATATTTCAACTTCCAGAGATCTTGTGTTCTAAGATTTGTCTGAATCATTGCTTAAACTTGTGTCACTGTATTGAAATCATCTCCTTATTTCAGTCAAGGAAAAAATATAGCACATATCAAACCCTTTCTTTTGTCCTCTCTGGAGTTTTATCTTGCCCAAATGTGCGAGGTGCTCTTCTGGGTCACTCTAAGACGTGAGACAGATGCAGTGGCTCATGCTACACTTAGCCTAACAACAAGAGGGGCATTTACCAGTCACAACAGCAAAAGCAGCAGGTTTAAGGGGGATTTTCTCCCTCCGGCTAGGTTTATAAGTGCTTCAAATTGGGGTTTAAAATATTTCCATATATAAACTGACTCACTAACTAAGAGCGATTTCTTCTTCTCTCCATAAAGTACAACACAATGTACAAAAGTATGTTGTATTTTTATACTGTATATATTTGTGTGTGTGTGTGAGTGTGTGTGTGTGCAATTGTGTATTTGGAGCTATAGTGACTACAAAGCTACCCATTTGAAATAATGAGGCTGTTCTTCCTGTGTGTGAGCACATCTGTCTCTCCAGGTGGATGTGAAATCTGCTGTTTATTGTGCTCGCAGCAGGTCCACTGCACCGATCTGCTGCTCTGGGCGCTCAGCGTAGAGGCGTAATGGTATTCCTGTGCAGAGGTTTGTCCTTGTCTACGGTGACTTTTACGCGTCTTATTTCCGACAAGTCAGACAAAATTCTAGCGGACGTGGACAAGAATGACCATTAGTTGCCCTATTCTTCTTCAAAAATAAATTAGGTTCATGTGTCCCAGACAGCTGCCGGGTCAACCCACGGGTCATATCCCATCAGTGTGCTCTCCCCCTGTCACTCAGCTGTCGGAATGATGTTGACCTGATAGTCAGGCCCTCGTCCGGATGCATCCAAGGAGCTGCGCTTCAGCAGCCGATTGATGATGTCTGTGCACGTCTTCTTGTATTGGTGTCGCAGAAGGGAGTACACAAAAGGGTCGCAAGCTGCTTTGCTGTAAGCTAAGCACTTGGAGACAATTCCCCAGTGAGGGTTGATAGGCACTGCTGGAAATAACTCCACGATCCTGCGGGCATGCACAGAGAGAAGGTGGTGTGAGAATGAGCGGTGGAAGAGAAAGTCAACATACTGGAGAAGATGTGCATGCCTCAAGCTTACATTGCAGAACAAGAAATATACAGTTTCACTGTAAATCACAGAGGATGATTCTTTAATAAATGTTTACTGTTTTGTAAATTCTCATCTCAATAAGTTTGAAATGTTTTCAGCCAGCCACACAAGACTACTTTGATAATTTTTTTCTTCAGTCACAACAGCAGTTCATGTTATTTCGGCAAGCTTTCCAATATCCTCCATCATACTTATCCTGTAGTGGATGATTAATGATTAAGATGGACACTGATCCATTCATCTATAGATGTCTATCAACTCTTACTTTGGAAACAAACAGTCTTAGCTTTTTATGATCTGAGTAACTGAGAACTGTAAAAGCTTTACTGATATTTGTGAGTTTCATGGTGACCATTGTTTTTTGACACTATTTACATGTAATATCTTTTGGCAACTCCTATCTGAATTGGTTAATTTAATTAAAATGATTCCACTAGAAATGTTTTAGATTCAATTCTTCAATAATACCTTAAATAAATTGTTTTTATTTTGCCACAAAAAATAGGGAAATTATTTGTTTTTTTTCTTGAACTTTTTTAGTCAATTCACATGTTCCATTATTGTCCTTAAACTGCATCAAATCATGACCTAACTCTGTAACTTTGATTCTTTTTCACAGCAGGATTAAACGCAAAGTATTTATCGTCTGTTATTTCTGCTTCAGATACAGTGTATTTGAATTGAGAACAGATCAAATCAACATAACTGTCTTTCCCCCTGGTGCTTGCTGCTTTCTAAAGTAGCTGATGTCAGTCCTAAAAACGTCACGTCGATATGTGTGCTTTCACACTGTTTACATGGTGTCATAAAAAGTGTGTAAAAATCATTGCTCCTCTACAACTGCACTCTGTGTGATTGCTCTGTACACAATCGAGCTGTGTCAGCACATTTACATTGGCCCTCATGGGCCAGGAGAATTAGCAGACATTTGTTTGGCGCATTCCAATGAAAGAGTGAACAGGAGGTTAACTCATCTACTACACCACACAGCGAGGATTTGACTCCGCACATGATGACCCTGTCACCAAATGAGAATCAGACTGGCAGTGGACAGGCTTTCAGCGTATATTATTCACATTTTAATTATTACTCTGCCATTTGCATAATCAGACCACGCGCAGCTCCGTTGTGGCCATTTATTACAGGCAGTTTACTGATAATCACACAACAATTTGGGGATATAAAGAAAGTTCAATGTCAAACCCCGCATTAAAGTCAGACCTCTGTCATTACGGAATGCTAGTCATTGTTCTCTACCACCAGCAACAAAGCACAAGTGAAAAATTTCTGCTGCACAGGACCTTGGATGTATTCTAAGGAAACTGGAGGGTTTACAGAAAGGACGATGTCAGTAAAAAGCAAACTTTTGCATTTGTTTCGAATAAACCTGTGTCCGGACTTTCAACTTGTAGCATACCATAAAAAAAGAGAACCCAGTCAGGATAGGAGCAGAAGGACCTGCTCCCCAAGAAAAGCCTTAGGTTTTCTTTCCCTACCCACTTCTTCAGGTTAACACAATAAATTCAACATTCACAACTAAGACAATTATTTCGACACAGACATCTCTTGTGCAGCTCTGTGCGGGCCTTCTCTGACATCCTAGCTTGAAGCAGTGATTGATGCAAGTGAATTTTAGCGAACTAGGATGCACCCGGCGAACTTGAAGAGAAAAGTGCTAATGCAGCATCAGCAACGGCAAAGCACAGGCATATTACTTATCACAAGGTCAGCCAATCTCATCTTCCAACCCTGTGTTGAGAGGAAACAGAGAGGAAGTGGGGGTGGGGTGGGGTGGGGGTGCCTGTCCAGGTATTGGGGGAATGAAAGGATTGAAGATGCCAGAGAGTGTTTTCCAGTGTGGCTTCCCCTCTTATTTCTGCCAGCACTCACCTGGTGATCACATAGGGAGCAAAGCAGAGCATGAAGGTGCCGATGAAGGTGCTAATCTTCCTTGTTGCTCTCTGCCGCCGTCTCTTTTGCTCTTCCAGGCAACGCTGACGAACACTGGAAAGCAAAGGCAGTTCAGCTGGGTTATAATTAGTGAGGCAGATGATTAAGAAGTAGTGGGTGTACTTTTGTGCAATACTGTTGTGATGAGTTAAGTATCCAAAAGCAGAGCTGAGGTAAAGCCAATGGTTTGTTATTTTACTGACATGAAATGCACAGGATCCTCTAAATTCTCTTAAATTCTCTAAAAATTCAAGAATTTTAGACTATTCTAATATTTAGTTTTGTTTGTGAATGTGTGCTCGTAAACTTAACCATCAAAACCATGATGACATATTGCTTAAGTAACATTTTTTTGATAACAGTCCTCAGTGTGTGTAATGAAAAGCAGGATTTAGACTACCAGCACACACCTCACCATGTATGCCAGGTTAATGAAAACCAGGTTTATGCTGTCTAATCAGTGTATGCATGGCTCGATCTGACATATACTGACTATCCTCTCATTTTAGTTTCCTGCTGGTGACATTTATGTTGGATTGTATGCTGTCTGTATGATGAAGACAAATTCAAATGTCAGCACAGAGTTGGCAAAGCATCATTCAGTGTGCCGTTTTTTTTTTCCTGACGACAAACAGGTATTTCATGCTGACATTTGACTTGAACAGCTTGTTCTTTTATCTTCACTTGAAAGCACAAATTTCCATCTGCATATCAAAAGACTGAAAGAAGAACAAGGCAAATAAAGACAGGTAGAACAACTTAAAGAAACTCACCTGGGGTGTATATCCACCAGCAGCACCAAAGTTTGCATTGTTATAACGTCGATCCTCTTACAGTGAAACCTTGCCACTTTGAGGACTTTGAGGTATGTGAAACACAAAACTATAAAAGACAGGAGGAAGCTAAACGAGTGGAAAAACACGGTGAAGATCACGAACTGGGTTCGGCTGCT